TACTTTAAGACTTTTACTGAAGTAATATTTTTAGAGAAGACTTTAACTTTTACTAAAGTATTTTAATGATAAGATACTTGTACTTTTACTCAAGTAGCACTTTGAGGTACTTTATACAACACTGGTTATTAGTGAATTAAAGGTACTCACTGCAAAAGAGTAGGGATGCACGAAACATCAGTATTAATATCGGTATCGATCCGATATGTAAAACTGGGCCGATATTAACGTCTGATATTGATTTCCCAGTTTTTATCTTTGTTTTTCTGTTTTGGGAGATGTTGGTCGAGCAGCATCTGTTTGATAATAACAGTGATTTTGATGCTGCGCAGCCAGGAATAACTGAAGTASAGCCATGTCTGAGGTCTGGTTGTTTTTTGCTGTATCAAAAAAAGACCCAAGTGTGTTTGTGTGTATATGTATAATATAATTTGTGTGTTTGTGTAATATCGGTAAATATCGATTATCGGCCATAACAGCAATAATTATTTCAGGTATCAATATCGACTGAAATTTTCATAACGGTGCATCCCTACAAAAAAAGACAATTTTTTTGCTCGTATTATTGATTAATTGTTTTGTTAATGAAAAAATTGTGAACAAAATCTGTAACCGTCACGCATTTTGACCTAAAAAACAGCTTAAGTGACTGAAAAAAGGCTKACAACGATAATATCTATGAAAGAACAATTTCAGGTAAAGAAGTTAGAGAATTTGGATGTATGGTGCAGATTTATGATCTGATTTGTTGATTAAAGTATGTTGACCTGCATATTTTAAAATTAAACACTACCAGAGTGAGGTAAGGTGAATTATTTCATGCTGCTTTTAATAAAAAAAAAAGTATTTAAGAAAAAAAACGTGCTCCAACCTGATTGACAAACTTTTTGACGAGCTCAAAGTTCTGAGGTCGGACGCTCTTGGAGCCGTCAATCAGAAGAACGAGGTCGATGTTTGCAGACCTGCAGGCTGCAGAGAAAACAACAGGCAGACTGCACATTAATGCTGACATGAATGAATATTTGGTCCTTAAAATTCTGTTTTTTATTTCTGTTTTATTGAGTCACTTGTCGTTTTGCAGACACCAGAAAAATCAGAAGAAAAACCTGCAAATACCAGCAAATTTTAACACAAATAACAAATTCAAAAACTCAACATGAGCGCACTACAGGTGCTGGTCATAAAATTAGAATATCATGAAAAAGTAGATTTATTTCAGTAATTCCATTTAAAAAGTGAAACTTGTATATTATATTCATACATTACATACAAACTCATATATTTCAAATGTTTATTTCGTTTAATTTTGATGATTACAAATGACAACAAATGAAAATCTCAAATTCAGCATATCAGAAAATTAGAATCTTGCGAAAAGGTTCAAAATGGATGGCACCTGGTACCACACTCTAATCAGCTAATTAACWCAAACCACCTGCAAAGGCCTTTAAATGGTCTTTCAGTCTAGTTCTATAGGCTACACAATCATGGGGAAGACTGCTGACTTGACAGTTGTCCAAAAGACGACCATCGACACCTTGCACAAGGAGGGCAAGACACAAAAGGTCATCGCTAAACAGGCTGGCTGTTCACAGAGCTCTGTGTCCAAGCACATTAATAGAGAGGCGAAGGGAAGGAAAAGATGTGGTCGAAAAAAATGTACAAGCAAGAGAGATAACCGCACCCTGGAGAGGATTGTGAAACAAAACCCATTCAAAAATGTGGGGGAGATTCACAAAGAGTGGACTGCAGCTGGAGTGAGTGCTTCAAGAACCACCACACACAGACGTATGAAAGACATGGGTTTCTGCTGTCGCATTCCTTGTGTCAAGCCACTCTTGAACCACAGACAGCGTCAGAAGTGTCTTGCCTGGGCTACAGAGAAACAGGACTGGACTGCTGGTGAGTGGTCCAAAGTCATGTTCTCTGATGAAAGTAAATTTTGCATTTCCTTTGGAAATCAAGGTCCCAGAGTCTGGAGGAAAAGAAGAGAGGCACTTCATCCACGTTGCTTGAAGTCCAGTGTAAAGTTTCCACAGTCAGTGATGGTTTGGGGTGCCATGTCATCTGCTGGTGTTGGTCCATTGTGTTTTCTGAGGTCCAGGGTCAACGCAGCCACATACCAGGAAGTTTTAGAGCACTTCATGCTTCCTGCTGCTGACCAACTTTTTGGAGATGCAGATTTCATTTTCCAACAGGACTTGGCACCTGCACGCAGTGCCAAAGCTACCAGTACCTGGTTGAAGGACCATGGTATCCCTGTTCTTAATTGGCCAGCAAACTCTCCTGACCTTAACCCCATAGAAAATCTATGGGGTATTGTGAAGAAGAAGATGCAATACACCAGACCCAACAATTCAGAAGAGCTAAAAGCCACTATTAGAGCAACCTGGGCTATCATAACACCTGAGCAGTGCCACAGACTGATCGACTCCATGCCACGCCGCATTGCTGCAGTAATACAGGCCAAAGGAGCCCCAACTAAATACTGAGTGCTGTACATGCTCATACTTTTCATGTTCATACTTTTCAGTTGGCCAACATTTCTATAAATCCTTTGTTTTTATTGGTCTTCAGTAATATTCTAATTTTCTGATATGCTGAATTTGAGATTTTCATTTGTTGTCATTTGTAATCATCAAAATTAAACGAAATAAACATTTGAAATATATGAGTTTGTATGTAATGTATGAATATAATATACAAGTTTCACTTTTTAAATGGAATTACTGAAATAAATCTACTTTTTCATGATATTCTAATTTTATGACCAGCACCTGTATATCTAACATTAACTCTTCTTCATCTAAATAAATAAGATGTGCTTTACATTTTATCGTTTGAAAAACTGTGTAAGGTATATTTAATCACCTGCTTTACTGAGAAATGAAAGATGATAGAAAGTTTCGCTCATCGCCCCGCTGGGACTGAAAACAAGACTCACGTCTGAGTCCAGCCAGGGTTTTCCCAGACAGACCTGATCTGGTTTTAACATCACGACGAGTCTCGTGTCATTCCTTCTTTTATCTTTATTTTATTTTATTTTGGCAGCATAAAAACTGCTGAACTTACTGCCGCAGCTCTTGCCGTCGTCCTGCAGCAGCGTCCCCTCAGGGCAGATGCAGTGGTACGACCCAGGAGTGTTCACACACTGGTGCTCACAGCCGTGCACCACCGTCTTACACATATCCATGTCTGCAAGGACACAGGAAACACTTTAAATAATAACTTATAGCTCATACAGAGACGCAGACACTCACAAATCTGTATTTCCTCTACGTTTCAGGATAATTTGAAGCTGAACAGGGTCGTTTAGATCCTGACGCTATAGTTTATAGCTGAACAGGATGTAACCAGATCCAGAGAGAAGAGGTGGTTGATCCAAGTTTTGGATCAGAAATGTAAAGCAGAAAAATGAAATTAGGGATTCACTGACTTGTGCAGGTCTTCTTGTCCTTGTTGAGTTTGAAGCCTTTGTTACAGTCACAGGTGAAAACGCCCGGAGCGCTGACACAGATCTGTTCACAGTCGTGCTTCCCCTCCGCACACAGGTCAATGGCTGAGACACACACACGCAGGTACATAAAACCATGCTCACACACACACACTGATTTAGCATCAGCTGGATGACTCCGTGTGAACACCTGTGCAGGTCTAACCAACCTGAGCAGGTCTTCTCGTCCTCGTTGAGTCTGTACCCTTTGTTGCAGTCGCAGGTGAAGATGCCCGGCCCCATGTGGACGCAGACTTGTTGGCAGTCATGTTTGCCCTCAGCACACAGGTTAATGGCTAAAATCACATACATTCATTAAGATACAGTTTTCAAATGGATACATTTATTTGTAAATCAGATCATTTTACATTAAAGAACTAAGAATAGTTTATACTTTGTAGCGATGCAGATTTTATTCATCCAACTAATGTAGGGGTCATCCAAATCCAGGTTTATTTTAAAGTAGCAAAGTTTGAATTAAAGCTTCTGCTCTGCAGTTAAAGTTATGTRGCTTTGCTGAGCCAACAGCTGCATTAGCTTTAAAGGGGCAATATCATAAATCAACTTTTTTGAGTTTTATATCATGTAATAATGTTATACTCTCATAAAAAACATGGCCAAAGCCTTGCTTTGACTCATTCATGCATGTTTGATAAATCCTGCAGCGTTTTTATGAAGCCATACTGAGGAGCAAAACGAAAGGTAGGGACTAGAAACGCTTTTTGGGACCAGAAACACCCCTGGGACGTGTC